AAACTTTTCTGTTTTATCAATATTCATATGTAAATCTTGGTCAATAAAAATTATATGTCATGTTATTATCTCAAATAAGAAAATAAGTACATAACAACGATACAGTATATGGTGAAGAATCACATGAGGCGGACAGCAAATGGAACAGGGATAGTAAAATTAATTTAATGTTACTAGAACTAAGCTGGAATTTACGACCATCAATCCAAACATGTGAGAGACAAATCCGTTTGATATGACAGCGATCGATAATCGGGGTCTATTGTGACTACTTTAACACATCAGTATGTTAAAGCAGGACGATAAAATCTTGATCAAACGATAGTAACATTAAAGACGTGCTACTGTTTATATCACGTGTTACAGCGGGCAGTTGTCTGGTGAGGCAGTTTCTTTGATTTGTCGACATGCTATATTGTTATATAGATGTGTTTTCTATTACAAATTGTTTATATGATCACAAGGGTATTGTGAACTTTATAAAGCTTAACATATCGAAGGATCGGGGTCGACCTTCGGTGTGAGATGTCTGTTCTATCGATTTCAGACCCTCCTTAATTACAGGGTTTTAAGAGATACGGGATGATGCGAGTCTTATAGTCACCATTCTAGCTTTATTGAAATATATCGATTCCTTTGAGCGAATTTGTGGCCGATTGTTTGGCTCTGAAGAATATATTGTCTTTTCTCAACCTCTTTGTCTCTTTGATAACATGACATTGATTTAACATCGACTTCATTAAAGGAAGAAATCCGTTGTAGCTAATTAGTCCTTAATTTCAAAGTTCCCCGTATCCGTTTTCAAATTGCCAAACATCCGTTCGATCAAAACCTCAACTTTCATTCAGTTCGGTAGGTACCCTTTACTACGTTGTCTTAGTATTTGTTTGACTATCCCCCCTAGAATTATTTCAGTACTAAATGTTCTATCACATACAGTTTTAAGACGACATTTTGTGTGCTAAACGTTGATGAAAAACGTTTCTGTTACACCAATGTTCTCCGTCAATTTGCTTTACTTTTCTGCTAGTAAACATTGATGCTACTTACCAAACATTCGAGTTAAAATTATTGTTATAGTTTTACAACATCATAAACTGTATGCATTTTTTTCGTGTTTAACACTAATGAGAATGTCAATGAAAGCTAATATTTGTGCTGAAATGCATACAGATTAAAACGTTAAAGGTGTGTGTTGTCAGCTACATATCTTTCTTATCAATCCAGTTATTTTGCATATAAAACAAAATGCATGTTACCTACTTTTGGATGTGAATAATGTTCCTTGAATTGCATATTTTTGTTTTTTTCTAAGCTCGCATGTCTACACTGCAAAGACTTTTCAAATACAGATAAGTACCATGCTTTTGTTAAAGAATAAACCGTTTTGCATAGTGGCATGGAAGCAACCACGATGTAAAAGAATATTGGCTTTGAATGGATGAAGAATGATTAGTACTTCGAACAATGAATGATTTTGCCTGGAGATAAAGCATCCAATAACTTGATCCCTGTCTGCAGGCATTGTTACATTTGCTGCATAAAAACAAAATCGTTCGATTACAAATGAAATCCTGCCACACATTATCCTATCTTTCAAAAGGTAATCATGCGTTAATATTGGAATCATTCAAATTTAAAGATAAGGACTTTGACCTCTCATTTCCATTCGATTCCCAAACTAAAAAAATCCATATGACCAACATTTGATTGCTAGCTAAACTAGTTGTTTAACCAACCCTTTGTCAAAGCTTCTTACTGCTGTTTTAAGATAATATATAATAAGAGTTACTGTTTCATTGTGTACTGTTTAGAATCGAAGATATGTGATTTTAAAGAATTCCAAACAGCGTTTAGCCAATTTTGTACATCCTAGTCTAATTTTTGTTTTGATGAAAATATTTGGTTTTTACACTCACTACAATTTCTCATTCTTAACTGAAGGAACGTGTTCGTTTTCTTGCTATGAAAGCTTTCAATCCAAATTCAGTAGAACGGCGTGTAAAAACATTTAGAAAATATCAGTTTCTGAACAGAATCATAATCAAAACATAAATTAGATAAAACTAAGGCAAATATGAACAAAAGAAAGATTAATATGAAGACTGCTGACAAGATACAAGGAGAATAAGACCAAGTGTTCCGGAAGTGTAAGCGTTTTCTTCCTCAATGGCTACACTCGTCATGTAATTATTGGTCAATCAAAGTAAGTAATGTAACGTTCCCAAATGAGAACAAGGTAATAAACATTACAACCACGAGGTGCACACTACGAGCACCAATTATTTACTACATCATGTCGCCTTAGGTAATAGAATGTTCCCTGGTAAGACCAATGCGACGTATGAACCCAGCCATAATCATTATCATTTTATCAACACTCGAAACCTAGTGTTTAGGGTTCTGTTGTCGAAAAATATATAAAAACAAAAACCGTGACACATTGGACAAGCGCTGCTACATGTTAACACCATTAGTTATGGATGCAGGGTCATATCTGTTCAGAATATTCACTCTACGGATATTGAAATCGTCTGTTGCAATGTCTATTTTTTCTTGTTGTTTGTGTTTACATAAATTATATTCAAACAGCATTATTTAATATTTAAATCCCTTCAGCGTTGGCACTACATGATATAATTAAAGGATTTAAAGAACTGTTTATCACATAGAGTGCATGGATGTTCACGTTTGCACTATTGCATGGTGATAAACAACATACTTTATTAAAAGTCAAATTAGAACCTGTCTCATACAGCAAGAAATGAAAGAAAAAGAAAATTAAAAGGGTCTTTTTTTTCTGTTTTGCCACGGAACTTCTTTCCAAGTAAAATTATACAGATGTTCTATCACGTTTTTCTAAATGAGCGATGCGATGTTTGCCTTACATCATACAAGTGGACATTAAATTCTCTAACAAGATAGTTTAGTGCTTCAGAATGTCTGTCGGATCGCAAAAAAAATCTTCGAAACACTTTTGTATATATATTTATATGTAGAATGTGAAATGTTCATACAGAAGTTAATTTGAACGTGTTACGCAACTTTACCTAATCTTTACCAAATTTTGAACATCTATTTATCAATAGGTGCTATCGTCATATAATTTGTCTTCAGACTTAATCTTAATGGAAAATCTGTTGTAGTTTGGCCAAAAACATTTTGTAATTTAGTTATTGAGATCCTCATTAGCTAAGATGTGATTCCCTCTTTTAAACCCGATTGTCGTGACTGCCATCATAATACTCGTATCACCTGATGATGCGAGTATGATCTGACCGTCTGACCGACTGTGAAAATAAATAAACTACAGATTGTGTCATTTATTCTTATCCATGAATGTAAATAATGTCAATATACAGTATCACTATTAGGCTTCAGTCATTTTTATAAATGTTCACATTTGTTTATCAGGAAATAACATATTGCATTCACTAAACAACATTGGTTTCACTTTAGACTTCGTTATGCTATGATTATGTTATGATGTCTATGATAACGTTAAGATCAGAGGTTGAATGTTTCAGCGCCTGTTAACGAGTCATAAGACTGCTACTTACATCGTTGTATAAACCATGTGTAACGTTTCCATTTATGTTTTGCAAGAGCCTGACACTTGTATTCATATCTTTTTACTAAAAATACCACTGAAAGGACAGGATTATATTAACTATTATTTATTTTTGCTTATTTTTCTTTTAGGACAGAAACTGTAAACAACAAGGTGCCTGTTTCAAAGTTAACCTTATCGAACTATCTATAATGATATCACTCTGTTCAAATAAGGTCTAGGCTGCCTTGTGTTGCCATCAATCAGCGCCCTGACCTGTTTCGCCGTTTGATGGTAATTGTTCTTTGGAAAACATATCGATGATCAATTGCCGACAGCTTAGCGTCAGTGCCATTCCTCATTAGGGCAATGTTGTGTTTGATCTACATCTGTACATCTTTAAGTTGTTGGTGGTGTTTTTGGTGGCATTCTTCAGTCCTTAGATATAATACGTGTAAATATCCACTAGCAGTGTCTACCACCTGCAAACTTGCAAATTGTACAAAAAGCATATATACAATTAGATCAACTTCTTTTTTCAACACATGGACATTTATTTAGTGGACTTAACACTGTATGCGCGCGAATATTACGATGAAAAAAAATTAGCCAAAAGAACACCGCTCCCTAATGATACAAAATGACAAGTGTTAGGAATGTCTGTTCATATTGCTATACAGTTGCATTTTTCTCTTGCCTGTTGAGAGTATCAGATTCTTTATGCTTTACAAAACAAAGGCTTTCGATTTGAACATATATCATGTTATGTTAAATGCGTAGTAATCAGCCAGTATGCTATGACTAGATAGAATGTCATCCTAAATGGCCAGATGATGCCCATCCGTGTGAAATATGCCAGTTTGAAGTGATCCTGGCATGACTGAACAACCATGAACATATTCATGATATTATTTTAAGGCATAACAAAATAACAAAAATATGTATACGTTTGTTTTCAGAATGAATTTGAAAATGCCTTATACTCTTGTCAATAATCCGGTGTAAGCTGAATTCGATGTTAATCGAATATTCAAACATAGATTTTAAGTTATGCGATGTAGAGCCCATTCCACATCATTTGTTTTGCAAATGCTAAATTTGTGAAATTACAATAATAGCTGAATAACATTGTTTAAAGTCGTCTTTAGAGCAAAAGAATACTGTATAACACAAAGTGTTTTTTTGTGTAGACAAAGAAAAACAAACACAAGATATTTACAAAACAAAACAAAAATGAAAATTAAAAAAAACCAAACAAATAAGACTTTCCATAAAAGGACTAAGTATACATTATGTAACATTAAAGATTTATCATTATTATTGAAAGGATGTCCATGATCATATAATGTTTTACAATATACATAACGTGTCAAGGAGGCAATTTTCAATACGTATTCTTACTCATATGGCAGATTGTGTAATATGAATTGTTAACATTTTGTTTTTGCAGCCGTTTACCTGACAATTTTGCTAACTTTGAGTGGACTCTCAGTCGCATCTACAGTGATGGTGCTTCATTTCCACCATCGGGAGAAGAAGTCAAGAAACCAATACGTCACTGAAAGGGTTGATGACGTAGTACACAACAGCCGTTTGTATAAGGTTTGTCGTCCTAATTCAAACAACAATCGTAGAAAAACAACACAAATAACGAAGAATGGACTGAGACCATCAACAGAGAAACTCCTGCAGGATTACATGGAGATCGATGACTCTGAGGCTAATCCTGTTCCAGAAAGCTGTTGCTTGAATTGTGCGTCTAAAGTGACGAAGTGGCAGTGTTGTATGAGAAGCAGAAGATCTCGAAAATATCTAGGGAAGGAGTTTGCCCAGAAACTAGATAATGTATTATTTTGTATAGTCACAATACTAACAGTGCTTTCCACAGTCATTGCCATGATATTGCTGATATATTGGTGATAATGTCGGATGTTTTGCATATTGGCAACGGGCGAATTTATTTATTCTTAAGCTGACTAAATGGTATATGTGTGCATCACTTATGATTTGAACATTTCCGGTGAACTGTAAACATCCTAACATGCACTTTAAGAATAACTTTTAAGAATGTCACAATCAAATTATTTGATTTGTCTATCTCTTTATTTTGATAGATCTGACGCGCACATGCACATATCAAATTTAAGTAGCTTCTTCTGAAAACATTTCTGCTTCCTAATTCTTTAAATTTGATTTAGAACTAGTAATGTCCAGACAATCTTTGGATTCAGCGTTATTAAAGTTTCAAACATTTTACGTGAAGCGATGTATTAAATCACTGATATCTTATATACGGTTGTGGATTATGTTAAAAATCGAACATTAATTAAAACATTTTACTGGTATGTGATTGACAAATGCAATTCATACAGGAAGTCTAGATGTGAAATTATCAAGGTAACGACGTTATATTGATCTCAATGTATTTATGGTTTTATTTTCCTTAAAACATTTCCGTTGTAGCATCCTAAACATTTTGCACCGGCACTGGATGTGATAAGCTATTTAATATTTCTAGTCTGATATCATACACAATAAAACTGAATTTATCATGTAGTCAATCATTCACATAAAAATAATTATATAGTTTTTCTATTGCATCAAACATAATCAATTTGAATATGCACCACATGTTTATCTGTTAGATGATAATTGATCATACATTATGTCAATGACCCAGTATGACTCAAAGTAACCACTTATTTGAATGTATTTGCTACGGCTATAAAATAACACCAACATTTCTATAACGAATCTGCATGTTTGTTAACCACCTTCTACTTACTGGTGTTCAGATTTAAGTTACATAACACTTATCAGATTGACTATAGGTACATATAATTGATCCACAGCTGACAATTGAAATCATTGTTTTATTGATGCTTACAAACAACAATAAACAGAACAAACAACTCTTATATTATGGAAGGTCGGATGTTTTGTATAAAGCAAAAGTAATTTTATTAGAAAAAGTCCATAAATCAAGATGTAACTTTTGATAGATTAGATGCCGGGTTCATTAAAACATGATTCATGGGATTATGTTACCACTACCCTCACCACAAAAGGGGTACATATAATTTAATTTGACCCTGTCAATTATAGATTGATTGCAAGAACAAGACTCCCGATGCCGCATGAATTCGCATATAATTAATACTTTTAAAACAGTTTGATTGGAAATGATCATTATCCAAAACAATTAGCAAATATATCAATTGTAAAAAACATTTTTTTTTAATTGGAATAAATTTGATGACAGCGATATTGACTAGTGTTATAATGAGTTACATCAGTCATTCGCTGTAATGTTTAAAAGAAATATCAATGTAACCTGACGATGTGGAGGCATATCGCTACACTGTTGTCCCATTTTCAATTTTTCTCTCTTTCCTTCTATGTTGGTGCTAGTTCAGTCGAATCTGACATTGAATTATAGCCCTGTGGATATGTCGATATTTTGTGTGTATTTTTTCTTAGGTTCGCTTTTACTGTTGTCCTTTGATTGCATTCTCAGCAGCTTAAACTTATCCTTTCTCTGCAGACGTGCAAAATGCATAAAAAATTGATTCATGTGAACTCTTTCTACAGTGCCAACCATAATAGCAGTAGTTCGTTCAGATTTATGCACAATAGGAGCATTTTGTCTTTTGTTTTCCTGATTCAAAATTCACCTCATGTTGTTTCAGTCATGGTTCCACAACATATGATAAGTATTATCCAAGTCGCACTTGATTCAGTCATCGTAGACTCGCTGTAATTTCTTGTCAGGATTTCTGGTAAAGATGACAGTTGACAGGTGTGGGAAAGTTACAGCCCAGATTTTGGAGAGATGTAGGGTGATGGAAGTACAGCAAGATTTTATGACTGACATCGTGAACCCGCATTGGAAAATAACGTATGGCTTGTCTTTCTCCCGCGAGAAAGATGCTACATAGCATCAACATCACTAGTGAAATAAAATATCTGCTTTAGTTTTGAAAGGAGTTCGTCGCGAATACATTTATAGTAATCGATTTATCAAATGCTTAAAGCATGAGTGATAATTTAATTGCATTTAATATTATGTCTTTTAGTATTCAATTACGTGTTGTAATTTTGTTTGTACAATTAACAAAACATATGTTCTATACACCAAAGCATTACTTACTAAGAGTTGTCCATATGTCTCACATACACGAGGTCTGCCATTGCACTTCCAATACTATTTATCTGACGTGAAATATATTATATGATAATTTAGATGTATTTTTACATGAAAATAATTATCCTAATAAATGTATATGTACGAATATGTTCCTAATTAATGTATATGTACCGATGTGTAAAATTTGTTGATGATCTCAATATCTCTAAACTGAATTTTTCCATTCCTAAATTGTGACTTTCCAGGATCCACAACCGAATGTGTTTACATGTCGCATTTGAGTCGGTATTCTCGCAAGAGGTCGTCAGTTTACTTTCAAACTCGTAATACAGGGTTTAAAAGATACAGGTTGATGAAAATTAAGGGGACGTTTTCGGTTGCCATAGTGATCTCATCTTATTTGTGCGATATAAAGCTAGGGCTATTTCGTGCTCGTTAGTCTGTCTATTGACTCCCTTGTTGCATACCTTGTTCTCATTTGAGAAGTTGGCATTGCTTACTTGGGTTGACCAAGGTTAACATGGCGGGTGCTGTCGATAAAGCAAACTACGCTCGCTTTCCGGAACACCTGGTCTTATTATCCTTGTACATTTATTTCAAACTTCTCCGGGTAAATCTTTCTTTTGTTCATATTTTGCCTTACTTTTATTGAATTTGAGTTTAGATTTTGATTATGTTCCCATGTTATTTTCTTGTTCTTTTTGTAAACGAACTTTTATGATATCGTATGATAAATATGACTTTTGTGATTGTTTAAAGGAATGAAAACGTGTGTGTGATTTCTTCTACTTCTGCACTTTGACTACAATATCATGTGCCTACTACATTAGTAAATGTAATGATATTTATGTAAATATTGTACCAATGATTGTGTGATTTAATTGTAATATGAACTGCATTTTCCTTATCATGATCAGTTCAGTGAAAGCAGGAAACCTTAAATCTTCGAAGGCCACTTTAGAACATTGGTTGTTAAACGTGTAATTCACTATAAGAAACAATAAAGAAAATACCAATATGTCCGCAAACATGATGCATTCCTTATTATGGATGGAAATATTGCATGCAACAGTTTCGTCTGTTTAGGACCGTCACTTTAAAGGTATCACGGAATAGAAATTGACGTTCCGATACGCCATAGTACAACCGGTTGGTGAATTATAGAAATCTTTACATGAACATCTATCACGTAAATGTATTCCTATTCTAAACCGCTGTTTAGGAACACTGTGTACACAGTGTGTAAACTACCTAGTTACTGATGAAAAATATAAGTATACGGAAAATAGGATTTCAGACATAACTTTCGACATTTTCGTAGCATAGCTTTGTATGGCGTTATGACAAAAATCAAAATGAAAGCGAAACAAGTGAAAGTCATACAGAATGAAAACAATAAAAAAAGATACTGACATGTTTACCGAACCTTAATTCAAACAAACATTCCTTGAAACTACGGCAAGCGATATTAATATCAAGAAAAAACATAACTTGTCATGAACATTAGCTCTTTTATATGGATGAACGTTAGAAAATAATTATCAAACCATTGCTTTAAATGAACTACAACCAAAAGTTGAAATCTGTCTTTATCTTATTTTTAATCCATCAAAAACTTAATGTACTTTGTACTTATTGTTCATGTTTCGTCATTTCTGATTGTCATTACATGCATTTAAATGCCGTTTATGATATTTTTAATTCATATATATATTGTGTATATCAAATGTGAAGGACACTATTGTAAAATATGTATTATAACTTGTCATCCAACATCCCTGAGAGGAAAGTGCATGCGAGGTAAAATACTGTATTAAATTTTTTTACAAGCTTTGCACAATTTAGACACTTTCTTACACATGATATTTACAGCAAATATTCTATTTATATAACACTTTCACTTTAAAATTTTTATCAATAACTCTACCATGTCTAGATAAAATATTGTGAACATCTACTAAAATGATCATCAAACATATGTTGTGTTGTTAACTTCGTCTTTAATTCATGTATTTCTATAATTCCTTGTGTAGATTACGATAATGAATTATTGTTGCTGTGCAACATGACATCCTAGAGGCGGACCCTCGGGTGTAGAGGTAAGTATGTCTTTTAAGTGACGACGTCAGTGCGAAAGATAACGTAATATACTAAAACTAGTGAAGAACGAGGCGTGAGACTTTGATGATTTAAAATGTTTTATTAATAAAATTTTCCTTTCCTAAACATGAATGAAGTCTTGTTTATTCAAGCGATACAACTGTTGATGAGTCAAACGTCTGCAAAAATGTTGCTAACCCAGACAACCTTGTCCCCCTCCCTGAATATTTATTCGAAATGAAATCTGATGAAGCGAGGACACATCACGAACATAGGCCATATTAAATCAGAAATCTTAGAAAATAAATTGCAAGTAATGTCACGTATACAAATGAGAACAAGATTAGCAACAACGAAACCACCAGACAAACTAATAAGCATCATACACATCCAACGTCCTAGGAAATCAAATATTTCGCTATGAGATCATTGTGACGACCAGAAAACTTCCCCATAATGGTCATCAACCTGCATCAATCACAAATTGAGAGTGAATCTGTCAGCTGTCGACTTCTTGCACTGAAATTGTGATATATTGAACAGGCATTGGAATATTACATAAACTGCGATATATAAAAACATGCATGTAGGTTGGTGAAGCAGGAATGTTACAAATCAGTAATGAAAAATTCTCAACAAAGAAATCGAAACCACTCTGATCATATAATGTATT